TCCCCCCCTCGTACCCCCAGAGTGTACCCCTGCACCCCTCCCGCCATGCTGTCTTTCTGGGCTGGCCCTTCACTGACCCTGGTGTTGAGTAGGACACAAACAGACTTTTAAAAACACGGCAGGGAAACACAGGAATGCCCCAGGTTCAAGCCGCTCTGTTTTTCTTGGCCCAAAAATGATCTATTGTACAGTTGCATCCCCGGAGACACCACCTCTCTCGTCTCTCCCTCTCTGTCTCTTTCTTTCCTCTCCTCCCTCTGACAGTAACGGTAAATGATAAACAGCTAAAGATGTTTTAAATAATGCAACACACAAATTGTTTATTTAATTATGTTTTTTGTTGTCTGTTTTGTTTTGTCCCTCCCCTGCTGTCACTCTCTCTCATTTTCTCTTCTTCCCTTCCCTCTCTCCTATTCCCATTCCTTCTCCCTCTCACATACACACACAAACACACACATTCTCTCCTCTCTCTTTCTCTCTCACACACACTTTCCCTCCTCTCTCTTTCACACACACACACACACACACACACACACACACACACACACACACACACACACACACACACACACACACACACACACACACACACACACATTCTCTCCTCTCTCTTTCTCTCTCACACACACTTTCCCTCCTCTCTCTTTTACACACACACACACACACACACACACGTTCCCTCCTCTCTCTTTCACACACACACACACACACACACACACACACACACACACACACACACACACACACACACACACACACACACACACACACACACACACACACACACACTGTCCCTCCAGTCTCTCTCTCTCACTCTGTTTGTTTGCAGAGATCTGCCCGGGGAGGATAGCTCAGGTTCTCTGTACCCCACTCTCTCAAAATACACCCCCTACCCCCCCCCACTGTGCTACCAGAGCTGGGGTACCCCCACTGCTCCAGCACGGTGGTCTAAGCTCACCCCCTCACCCTCATCCTGTAACCCTGCACCCCCTCTCTCCCGTCATGATAAACGAGAGAAAGAGAGAGAGGGAATCAATGGGAGCAAGAGGAGGAGACACCATGAAGGATACATGTAGCAATACCTATTTTTCAGCTAAGCAGTGTTTTGCTGTTTTAGTTGTGTTTCTTATTTCAGTTTTGTTCTGTTCTTTTTGTGTACTGTGTTTTTCATTATCACACTTTTTGTTTGTTGAGGTATCTTGTGTCCAACTTGAAAGGTGCTACATAAACGAATAACTTAATTAAATAGATGAGATGTTAGCTGCTTATTTAGCCCAAACCCTCCATCCTTTCCTCCTGCAGACACTGGGGCCTTTTTGGGTGCCGTGTTTATGACACTGAGCGGTTTAAGGCTCTCTCAATCATTGGCTAATCAGGCTGTCATTAGCAGTCCCTCTCCTCTTTTCATTCTGTCTCGGAGCTCAGAGGATTTAATCGCCATGGAAACACCTGGTAAACAGGCTGGGGATCCGGGCACCAAGGTCGGTCTGAGCTGGCTGTGTGTGACGAAGGTGGCCTCCCACTATCCCAGACATGGATCGCATCCCCAGCACCAGCATACTGCTCAAATCACTTCATATGCATGCATTTATGGATTTACTTCAAAATAGTATGCACATTTAAAAACAGCATTCAAAACAACCCTTACATATGTCTCACCTTGCTGGCAGGCAACAGGGTGGAGATCCACTTATCACGGAATACGTTGGTAAGAACTGAAATAGTAACGCTTGCAGTGATTGGTGGACATATTCAAAGTTTGGACAGAGATGTAACAGATGCTGTTTATCTCACTTAAAGTGTTTATCTCACTGGTCTGCTGAACACTAAATGACTGTGACTGAAGACAGGAAGACACACAGCAAACCTTCATATATTCCACCAAGGCCAGGCGTTATCATGAAGTGTATCCAGAGGGAGTTCACCAATCACAGTAAATGTTTGATTCATTGGTCGTTACCAACAAACTGTGTGATTGGTGAAGCCTCTTTCCTAACCTGGAAAGTCTAATTGATATTACTGGTCTTTGTACTGTCAGAATGGCCGAGTGGTCTAAGGCGCCAGACTCAAGGTGATTAGCCTTCCATTGTAATGGGTGTTCTGGTCTCCGAATGGAGGCGTGGGTTCAAATCCCACTTCTGACAGGAGTTTTACAGGACACTGTCCACATCTCAGGCCATTATAATAAAGGACTGGTTCAGCCAGAAGTGTTTCATCAAATCATCTATACCCATCTTCCCAAGGCACCTGACAGCAGGAATGCAGATTACAGCAACATCTATTATGGTTTAAATGGCAATATTGTTTTACAAACGCACTCCTACTGATGCAGGCATTTAAAAGTGGTTGGTGACACAATGCCATTGTCAGGATGGCCGAGTGGTCTAAGGCGCCAGACTCAAGGTAACTGACCTTCCACAGTGATGGGTGTTCTGGTCTCCAGATGGAGGCATGAGTTCAAATCCCATTCCTGACACAGTTTTTGCATTTCCATTCACTCTGCACAGCAGGCAGGGAGGTTGTGCTTTCTCACATTGTGATGTACTCTGGATGAGGGTGTGGGGGAAAATGGCTGAACTGGAGACATGGGTTGTGTATTTGTTCAGTCCAGAAGGGCCCCCCCTCTGCTCTCTGATTGGATTACAGCCCCACTACCACCCGCCCTCCCCCAACCCCAACATGTGCCTACACATATGTACGGTTAGACACTTACACAAACAAACATCCATACCCAGACAGGCACAGCTTTTAATCACATTGTGTTTCAGATAAATTGCATAATGTCATGTGATAATAAAAGAGCTGTTTTGTCATCATATCAACAATAAAATAAGTAAAATATAAAATATAACAATCTTTCCTGAAAAGTAGTTATCACCTGTGTGTGTGTGTGTGTGTGTGTGTTTTATAGTGTATGTGCGTGTCTCTCTCACCTCTCGCGTGTCATAAGCTGAGACTCAGAGCTTTGACATATGGCATCTCCTGCAGAGTTCACTAAAGTCCTGTTATTGTTGTCACGGAAACAACAGCAAGGGCAGGAAGTAAGTATGGAGGTATGCGTGTGTGGCGAACTCTGGGAGAAATCTGATTAAGGAACAAAAAGGGGCAAAAAACCACCCGCACAATTGGAACAAGCACTTTCTGAGGGCTGGAGAAACAGCAGCTCTCAGTGCGACAACAGGGGGCAGATTTGCACTTAAGTAAAAACTGGGCACTGTCCAATGGCAGCATCTCTGGTCCCAATGTATGCCAGTCATCAGTCAGACCAGTCTTTCCATTAAGTGTGCTGGAAACATGAGTACATGTTCAATAATTTTGTTCTTATTTAAAATAAAAAAAAGCATGTTGGACTCCTCTATAATGAGCTTTGTCTCTGAACTCTTAATATTCAATGGATAATTTCATTTCAATGACTTGGTGTTCTCGGTGATTTGAATCAATGAAGCTATAAAAAAATGCTTTGTCCTCAAAAGTAATAATTTGCAACAGCATATTATAAACAGGTAAGTATTAGTTTTCTGATAATTTATCTGTCCGATTTAAAGTGATTCAGTGTACATAGAATATTCCTTCTTTATGACATGAATCTGTTTTTAACACAGTGTGGCAATAAGAAAGCTAATTATCACCCGTTAGCAATGAAATGTGTCTAATATAAAATAAATAAAATGAGCAATGCCGTATAATTCAGAGGTGGTAATTACAGTTGGAACAAACCGCATCATTCACACGGTACTGCAGGACTAGAGTTGGGGACCACTGGACCTGACAGTTTCAGCTGTTCTGTATTTCTGTACCAGAGTATAAGGAATGCCATCGAGGGAAAGACTTGGGAAGCCAACAGAATACTGACAAGGGTAGTTAAAAACCGACCGTGACTCTGGGGTCTAGTTACGGCTCTCTGAATACACGGCACCCAACAGTTTTACAATAGTTTACAGCACCGAAACTGGACAAAAAGTCATTCTCTGAGCAAGGGTGGGGCAATTCCAGTTCAGTTGAGGCAAGTCAGTCAAAAAAAATGTTGAAATTTAATTCATGAACAGAAAAATGCCCATGAAGTTACATTGCCACTCCTCCTTTTTGCAAATCACAGAGTTCAGGCGTCAGTCAACGGAAGGGGAGAGAATGGAAGCCGTAAAAGTTTATGGTTTTGGAGCGGGCCTTGGCGCGTGGTTCGGTGCCAGTTCTGAGCGCGCTCAGAGGCTTAGGGCAGGAATAACTGAGCACGCTCAGTCTCTCCCACAGAGAATAAGCAGCCCTGTTTACCTCATCCTCGGCCAGGCAAAATAAACAAACTCGGAGCTTGTTTAGAAAAACGTCACTGATGCGCAGTCTGTTAAAACCCTCCACAGTATCTGCAGAGACCTCCTCCTCTGTCAGCTGTATAATGGATCCTCTCCTTTGTTAAAAAAAACCTTTTCAGAGAATTGCAAGTACACTGCATTATAATAGACAGGTTTAGTCTCACTGGGTCTAATGCAGAGCGGTGCATAAATGTGCATTCTGTGTAGCGTATCAGCGGGACAGAGACACCTACACAGAAAACGCACTCAAGGGCAGGTCTGAATTCAGCCCTATGTGTTCCTACATAAACTTTATTATAGTCATCGAGCCATTATACACAAAATACTGCAAGTGCGCAACTGATGATGTCATCACTATATTAATGTTTCAGTCTCATGCAGAGGGCTGTGTAGATAGCTTATTTGCATGTACAACAGATAACACCAGGTGGGTTAAGAGGTGAATACTGTCAATTTAAAGGAATGTTTCTGTATGTGAGTCCATTCTCTCTGCTGAGGAAGGAGATCCAAGGTCCACTTGACTCATGCGGAACTTTCTAGCTATCACATCCTGTAGTTTTACGAATTTACGAGTTTTAATAATTATATTTAAAATAAAAGAATTATATTTTTCAGGAAGAATCAGGAAGTATGTTCAAGGGTACTGTACTGATTTTGACAAATACATAGTCAGTAATAGATCTTTGACCTGTTGTCAGGATGGCTGAGTGGTCTAAGGTGTTTTACCTTCCATACTAATGGGTGTTTTGGTTTCCAAATGGGGGTGTGGGTTCAAATCCCACTTCTGACAGAGGTTTCAAAGGAAGTTATTCATTCAAAACAATTAAATGTAATTTTTTTTTCCAACAAAATGTAGTTTTAGGATGAGGTTTCCCATATTTATATCCAGACCTTCTCTGTTGTATTGTAAGTGGTTCTGGATATGTGGTCTGCCAGCTGACCGTAACATGAGCTTGCCCTGTTCTGTTTTTCACTGTACTGTACTTGTTCGTTTGCTTGTTGACTGCATGCTTTTGTGTTTTCTTTTTCCTGGAGACCTTTCGGACTGCAAGGAAAAAGAAAACTGGTTCTCGTTTTCTCTTACTTAGGAAACTAAAGGTTGAATAAAAGTGACTCCTTTCTTAAGGTGGAGGACTGTGTTTTGAGTGAGTCTGCACTATGAGTTCTGTAATGGACTGTGCTGTTGTCAAATTCTTTTCATGGGGACAGTTGCACCCCAGGAGCTACGGTGAATGAGTAGAGTCAGTACCTAAGACAGGCGCAAACTACACACAATCTGCAGTTTATTAAGATGTGTGCGTATGGAGACGAACAGAAACAGAAAATCCCTCTCTGGAGGGGTAAAACCACAAGCCTGAGTTACAGACTTCCGAGTTTCCGATTTACATTTTACGTTTACATTTCGGTTGTTTCGACAGACGCTTCTAATTCAGGGCAGTTGTGAGGAAGTGCAGAAGTTCAATTACAACTGCTGCTGCATCCAATCATCAGCTGCAAACAAAAATGAATGGCTGGTGAAGGCCCTCTGCCATTTGATTGGCTACTTCGTTTATTTCTCTTCCTCGTAGGCTGACCAGCAGAGGCGGGGGAAGGCAGAGTTAATAAGTTGCACCTGGGTCAGGTGTATATTACTCTTCAGTTTTGACCTTTGGGTGGCCTCCTCTTCTCTATTTGGACCGGTTTTGCCTTTGTAAATTTAGGGAATTGTTTTTGTGTTCGGGCTGGTAGCCTGTGACACACATGCTGTTGACTTTGCAACACCACATCACATACTGACTGTCACATCCCAAAATTCTTTTTTCCTTGTTTGGCATTTCAAATAAATTAAGAAAATTACATATTCCTGTGTGTGTGACTTTTCTGTCAGTTGGGACCAAGCAGTTGCAGCGTGGCTATAGTTATCTCCTGTGGAGGACTTTATCCCAGAGTTCCCTGCCTTACCTACACAACTCACTGTGCTTTATGGTAGTCCATTTATCCAGCCCTATCTATCTATCCAGCCCAGAGAGCTTAGGGTTACTCCATCACTCTTATTACACAGCTAACAGTCAATCAGTCTTGTGATGCTCTGTTAAGGCAAATTCATTACAACAGGAAATAAAAACCATGGTGCGTACACAAAACCACATATCCCCAAAACAAACGTGGTCACAAGTCACCACAAAACATTATGTAATCCCCCCTCACCCCCGCCCCTTCCCCAGGTCTTTTTAAACTGGTCCCACAGCCCTCCTCATCAGCCACAGACTACGCTCCTAATGCTTCATGTTCTGCTAAACATTTCAGTGTTTCTGCTTACTCTGTGGTAGGAGTGCTAAACCCAGAGATGCACAAGTTCATTTCAACCCATGATTATGGATTTTACTCCTAAAATATGTATTTGTTCAAGTGAACTCCTCAGAAAAATGCTGAGAAATCTCCAAATTTGGGTGGCATGATGGAGCTGCTGAATACATGATAGCCAGGTCATTGTAAGATGGCTCGGGTTTGATAAACTGAACGCATCTACGTGTGAACTCAAAATACATCTACACTCACAGTGCACAGGCATGCCCAGAAAAGACAGGGGACCTACTACAGACCACTGCAGGGGTGATTCCTACCAAAATGCAGCTTCACTTTTCAACTTTCAACCAATAATATGCTAAGACTTCAGTGGTTAGCTGAGATTTTACAGTAAAATTACATTATGTAAATTCTCAAAAACAAACTATTAATGCATAGTCCAAAATGTATTACTGGGCAAAGAGGGGTAAACTTTTTCGTGGTAAAATGGAATCAATCCACAATTACACAAGTTCAATCACCTGCAAGTAAACGCTGAGGCAAAAGCCACAAAACTCAAAACGGGAAGTGTCTTTGCTTAGCAATGATTTTCTTTCTGAAAACAGAATGAATGGGAATGCGTCAACGAACAAACGAGTACTTACATTCAGCAACAAACTTAACTTCAGTCGTCATGGAACTATAAACCACATCGCATACACCATTGATTTATTGCCTCGCATCGTAAATGAACTCTGAAAATGAGCACTTTACAGTGCGCCTTCTATCCTTTTCCATTGATCCAGTTCCAGAAAAGCGTAAGAAATCCTCGTTGCAGCTGTCGTATCCCTTAAGGCTAGCAGCATACGGATAACATTACCCCCATCAAACTCGCTTTAATGTTTCAAAACTTAATGAAGTTTTGCGGATCTAGTGCAAACCGCATATTCTATGATATTACGTCATTCTGTTACTCATCGCTAATCTGTCAAACTAATGAACGCGCTTCGTGTTAGTGGATCACTGAGGAAGATCGTCCAATATCTGCTTCTCCTTTTTGATCTCAAGCAAGCTAGAAAAGAAACATGAACAATTCACCGAAGGTAAATGGCTAACAGATGTAGCCACAAAAACTAACATGATTTGAAAACTACCTATTCCTCCGTTCCCTTTCTACCCGAGTGCCCGCAGTCCTGGCTACTCACCCTCCAGTCTCTGCTCCTGAGTCCACACAATCATCCTCGGTGGAATTCTTCTCCATTTCAGACGATAAAGACATATTTCTCTTGCATTCTTTCTTATGGTTCGTCGAACGTTATAAGCTGATTTTCCCTTCTGCACACGCAAGTGTAGACAGACGAGTTTACGCACGGACGGCGGCGCGCAAGAAGGCAGGCAGCCGAAGCACAGCGGACCGCTACTCTCACAGGCGAGGAAGCCCGATTGTTCGCACATCCCGAAGCAACAGGCTGCACTCTCCCCGTTCTACTTTGTTTGACTGCGTCATCCACACGAGGCCAGGCAACGCCTCTTGTCACGCTGCGGTGGCAGTGTCAGGCATTTTCTGTGAGGGCTAGCAGCGGCGGAGACTTTAATTAAACGGTGGCGCGACATTGTGGTGGAGAGACAGGACATGTTTTTATTTAACAGCAAAGGAGGCGTGAACCCCACTGAAGTCTTTGAATTTTTTAGGATGACCAATCCTAAATTCAATGACTGTAGAGTAAATTTGTCCTGTCAAACATGCATTTGTTAGAGACCAGTGTTACTGAGGGAAGTGGGAAGCATATGAAATGGTGTCCGTTGTAAAACTTTTCCAAAAGCTCAGAGCACCATGGCCCAGTGATGAAGGTGAACACCAGCTTTCGCCCACACTCTGAAAAAGTTTACACATTCTTGTTTGACAGTCACAGTTTGCCTGTCAAGATACTGTGTGTAGACACCTTCCAGCAACTTCTCCAAAAGATTTTTGAAAAAGGCCTTGTATCCTCGTGCAAGTGTTGTCAGGACAGATGAGTGTTCTAAGGAACCAGACTCAAGGTGCTAAGTCTTCTATAGTAATATGTGTTCTAGTCTGTAGTTGGAGGTGTGGGTTGGAATCCCACTTCTGACAGCAATTTTAAAGTATCTCATTTGCTCAACACGACTAGGCGCAGAGATAATGTATCACAGTCTAAAAGTTATGAGAATCATAACCAAAAGCCTTAATTATTACATCATTCTGCAACAAATGTAATCACTTCTTCGCCTTAAACGGCCCTCTGGGAAAATGGCTTAAATCATCTGTTTTTCAGGGGAGCCCCATTTTCAGGGGGGACCTTTCTTTCCATTTTAAGGATTGACCCATTCATAAAGGATGTAGAAATACAGAGGTAAGAATGGACTGTCTGTTAAAACATGTTAGATGAGTAAATCTCTCTGGATAACAACATTGGCTAACTGCATGAAAGTAAGCTAAATGCAGAGGCGCAATTTGGTCCCTCTGACCAGCCATTGTTTTTCCATGTTGCTGATTGTTACACTCGCCACTCATCCAAAAAGCACGAGCCATGCTGCTAAACACATTTGTCCCAGTCAGAAATCCCTGTCAATTCAAACTCAGATTATACGATTCTCTGAAACATGTAATATCATCCAATAGATGGCGCTGTTGCCCCATAATACTTCATCAGCACCTTGCAAGCCATTCTACCCAAGAGGAATTTGTACTTGTAAAAGTTACACAGATTTTGTCCTTCAGTGAAAAAGATACCCCCCCCACCCCCTCCGCCCCTTTTGTGCATAATCTCTTTAGAAACTGAGGGTGTCACGCAGAGAGGAAAATACACTCTGAAGAACAGTTCATTCCTGTTAATCGTATCTGTGTCCATTAATCTTAATTATCCTCCTGCTCCTTTTAAACCTGGTAATCCAGTCATAAGGAGCAACCTGGGGGGGCAATCAACAATAAAACACATCTTCCCAGTGGATTGGAAGATTTGGAGATGACATAGTCTGAGATTATTTGAGAATGTACATGTCCAAATGAGATTGATGCATGTTGTGCTGAGTAAATAACATTCTGTAAAATCTGGGTTTTGCAAAAGGTGCTCATTAATTGGAGTGCTGTTGCATGAGTTTTACTTCTTAGAGTTAATGTATGACACCGATATTTGCTTTGAGACTAGCATTTTTGCTGTAAGGTGCTTTGTGAAGTTTGGTATGTTGTTTAGATAGAACATTGTCAACTGAGACAAACCTTAACTTAAATACCCAGGGATGAGAACATCACTCTCTAAAAGCCTGTCAGGAGTGGGATTTGAACCCACGCCTCCATTTGGAGACCAGAACACCCATTACTGTGGAAGGTCAACTACCTTGAGTCTGGCGCCTTAGACCGCTCGGCCATCCTGACAAGTGCTTGCGTAAGAGTCATTGTGTGTATGTGTGTATATATGCATGTGTGTGCGCAAGAATGCGTGTATACGTGTGGGTGTGCTGTTGTGTGAGTTTTATGTTACATGCAGGTGATAATCCACGCTGCAT